TATATAGCTAATGTTAAAAATAATTTGAAATAATTTTTACTTATTAAATTGTCATATTTATTTATGAACATTTTTCACGTATTAAAAATGAGCTACAAATAGCTCAAAATTTTTTATATTTATAGGATTATTTAAAAACATACTACAGGTTATTTGAAGAATGAAATATATTCATCATTTTTTACGAGAACATTTTATTTTGTAGTAAAATTTAAAAAAAATATTTTTACTTACTTGTTTCAACGACGAAAATTTGTGGTTGTGGCATTGGATACGATGGTTGTGGCATTGGATACGGTGGTGGTTCATCAGTAGGCTTCATTTTTCCTTTATAATTAATATATCTGTAATTTATACAAAAATGATTTCTAATTTTTATGCTGTACACGGCTCTAATATAAGTATGCAGGAAGATATGTCACTTCTATACTTTATTTCAAATCTAGTAGTAAATAAAGGAGTTTAGTTCAAACAACGATAAACATTTACTTAAATTCGCATTGATTATATGAATTCTCGGAACACCTATAAAAAAAAACTTATTGATAAGATAAGACATAAGCTAATTTAAATATACATTTGATAACAATATTTTACAAAAAGTATACTAAAATGATACTCAGTGTAATCCATAGAATAAGGTGATTCAGGTTATCGTAGGTAGCGAGTTAAATATTTTTCCAACGTCATTGATGTAGTCGTAAAAAATTTGTACACTTGAAATGGACAAATACAGACAAGCAAAGTTAATAATAGATAATATAAAAACTTACTTCTTCCAACAAACAACCAACTGTGACTTTGGTGCGGATTTAGAAGGAGGAGGCGCATTTATACACTCATGAGAGGATGCACTGTATTATTTGAATTATGACTACCAAGTAAAAAAAGTAAAGTACAGTAAAGAATCCAGTAAAGCATAGTTTTGGTATTTTTTTTATATTAATATTGATTATTATCTGACGGTGATTCAAAACACTGTCGTAAATTGATTCGATGCGTACTTGAAACAAATTAAAAATTTAACATATTCATCAAAAATTGAATTTAGAGGTTGATTACTTTTAAAGATAAATCGCTGAAAAACTTTTTATTTGTTTATTATACATTAAAGTATTAAAAGCTATAATTTGATTTATATTTGAATGGTGTAGTTGTTCTTTATACGCAAAGACTTCAAAATCGGTCAATTTTATCGAAATTGCATGATTTTTAGACTAAATGGTTGATAACTTTTAGAAATCGAGAATTGTGATATTTATTTTTTTTCATCTCAAATAACATTATAATACATTTGATGTAGATTTAAAAAGTTTTTTTTTTTTTTTTTTGAAATATGTCTAAAATTGAATTTTTAGCTGTTTCCATTAAATATTTTGCAATAATCCTTCCATTTTTAAAGAAATCATTTCAATATAAAATTAAAACTAAAAATATCAGAATTTACTGCCTTTTTACATTTATAACTTTTTAGGATGATAAACGGCTTCAACTTGTATAAACAGAATTAAATGTACATGGATTGGTAAAAGAGACAAGAAAAAGGATATGAATGAGGAAAGGATGCCATATTTATTCAATCATTTCATTTTATTGAGCATAAATATAATGAAAACTAAGACCAAAGGAGGCTAATTAATTAAGACGGAGATATCATTTGTCGGGCGGCTATTCCGTGCGGGTTCCAACGTCTTTTGCCTTGTTGCACATAGATGATCACACAATACAGGGTGGTCCACCACTCACTGACAACTTAAATAACTTTTGATCCAGTTAATATTTTTAGCTGATTTTTTTTTTAAATAATAGTTATACGTTAGGTCTATAGCTATATCTCAATAATTAATTTTTTTACATTTTATTAAAAATATTAATTATTTTTAAATTTTAAATAAAATGTAAAAAAAAAATCTAAGATAGCTATTTTGTAGAGTAGAATTTAAGAAAAATTTTAGTAAAAAAATATCTTATTAATATTCAGTAGTAAATATTCTGTAGCGTTTTGAAGTTTGTGAAAATTTGAATTTTCATGTACTATTTTACGGTATTAAACATTGAAATACGTATTGAGAAAAGGACAGAAGAAAACGCTATCTTTTCAATATACTTTTGAATGAGAGTGATAAGTAATAATTGCCTTATCTAATTTCTTATCATGGTATTTATGCCAAGTTTGTAATGTATACACACTATCATCATATGTATACACAGTAATCATGAAAAGATAGCGTTTTCTTCTGTCCTTTTCTCAATACGTATTTCAATGTTTATAACCGTAAAATAGTACATGAAAATTCAAATTTTTACAAACTTCAAAACGCTACAGAATATTTACTACTGAATATTAATAAGATATTTTTTTACTAAAATTTTTCTTAAATTCTACTCTACAAAATAGCTATCTTAGATTTTTTTTTTACATTTTATTTAAAATTTAAAAATAATTAATATTTTTAATAAAATGTAAAAAAATTAATTATTGAGATATAGCTATAGACCTAACGTCTAACTAATATTTAAAAAAAAAATCAGCTAAAAATATTAACTGGATCAAAAGTTATTTAAGTTGTCAGTGAGTGGTGGGCCACCCTGTATTTTGATACCTCAACAACTTAACTAATATCAACAATATCTAATGTAATAGTATTTTTTTTTTGTTTACAACAAGTGTTAATTGGTGTACATAATATACAGTAAAAACTTTTATTTTATTGAATTAACAATTCTATGTAAAACACTACATCGTGGTCTTTTTCTTTTTTTTGCTCAAATTGATATAATTGAGTTTCTTGTTATTTTTATTTCGTATTGCGTAAATTTGATGTGCGTAGTTTTGAAAAAAAAATTTGGAAAATCCTTATTTTTAAAGATAATTTTGGTTTTAGGATTTTTAGAATGAGGATATTATGTAATAATTACGTCATTATAGTTTCACAATAGTATCATGAGAAAAAATCCCAAAAATTAAAAAAAAAAAAAAAATGTTTGAGCTATTTTTAGTTTTTGACGTTTCAACTTTAAAAAGCTATAACTTTTGAACCAATTTTTTCAAACACTTTTGAAAAAACCATTGAAAGATACACGTTTTAAAAAAAAAAAATTTGAAAAAACTCGATGGGGTGGTAAAATGCATTTGTTCCGATTAATATTTGTGTGTATTTTAAGAGGAAAAAATTTTTTCCACTAATGTTTAAAACTACTACCTTTTTTTTTAGATTAAACGTACGCTAGAATATACGATGTACATAAAAATAAATGAAAATATCGTCAAATTTTACTGTTTCCTTTTTACATTTTTTTATTTTAAAATTTGGCATTAGCTATATATACATACATATATATTTATAATTATAAAAATAAAAATTATTTTTTATTTTTTTGTCACCAGTGTTGATTTTTTACAATCGGGGTATTCATTCTAGACAGAATAAACGTATCTAGCCGTAAAGCCACGTATATTTTAATTTTTTCATTTTCTTTTCCGATATATCTTAATATATAAATATATATTCGTAATTTGCGTATATATAAGCAGATGTACCTATTTTATTAAACCCTCATAATATTATTTCCCCTTTACTTTTCATTTTGTTTGCTATAAAATAAACAACTCCGCACAGTAATAGGCAATCCCATTTTAATATTTAGGAGTTGCTTGTCACAGCAATAAAACTTTACCTGGGTCGTTAAAACTCTAGATACGTATCTATACTAAATAAAGGTTTTCGAATAATAAAATTATTTGTTCAGATTAAAAATATTTGCATCTTTCCCCACAAAAAAATTCTAGATATATATCTACAACATCTATGATTTATTTATTGCCAATAATTAACAAGGGTTGACTTGCAACAAGAGTTAGAGGATAATTGTTGTTAATTGTGCTATGAGGGTTACTCTAAAACCTAATTATCACGATCACACTAATGCATGACACTAAGTGTCGTAATTATTAAATAAATTGAAAACAACTTTGATTACTGATAACGAATACTTTTCACAGCTATTAAAAGTACTTTTTTAGTATTAAAATTTTAAAATATTTAACTGTGTGTGATCAACACATACATTTTTTAGTTAAACTTCTTAAATTTTGTTCATTTCTATGGCTTCTTAAAATTTTTTCTTTTATATTATCTAACTAAAAAATATGGATCCCATTAAAGAAAATTAAACTTAAAGCTTTATACCTAAAGGGACAAAAAAAATTATTTAATGCGATAAGAGAATTCTAATGAGGCTGAAAGGTAAGTTCTATAAGACTACAGTAGGAGCTGATATTGATTTTGGAATAATCGATCAATTAATTATAATTATATATTATGTACACATTCGCATCAAAGCGTTTTTTATGATAGTGATTTTAATCATTGTCTGATATCAACTATACTTTTCTGAACTATGACACGATTCCATTGTGCTAACGTTTTTTTATATCAAAGACCGTTTTCCTTTTTGAAATAATCGGTTTAATTAATCTTAATAAGGTGTATAGTAATTCACCTTTAGTTGCCTTTTTTTTTAGTTTTGTCCCTCTTTTGAACTAATGATTATAATTATACCACTTATTGGACAAAGAAGTCGGTGTTTTCTGAAATTATTTCAAAGAATTATCAAAATATTAGTCATATTTTTTAAACTTATAAAAGAGAAAAAACTTTCGTTATTTTTTATTTATTTATTACATTTGTTTATAAATTAATACTAATAAATCTTTTATAAATGATTAAGTAGAGTAAATAAGTTATCGAGTGACTCAGTATGTCGTATACATGATGAAATTTATAATTATTTCATACAGTTATTGTTCTCATGAAATTATTGAAAATTTTACTCATATGAACTCAATAAAAAAACATCAAGACATTCGATTAGATTCAACATAATAATTTATTGAGTTGAGTCTATAATAAAGTTTAATAACTTAATTAAATTATTCACGTAATGACTTTGGAAAAAGAAAATAGTAAGGCGCAGGGCGGAAAAATACTCAAGGGGACTTATTCACAATATTATCTTTAGTTTTCGTTTAAATAAAATTGTTTTTTTTTTTTGTAAAAATTATTAGTATTTAAAATTGAGTCAATAGAGTATTTTAAAGATTATATTATGTTTTATTATAAAAATTTTTCAAATGAGATAACAACAAATGAATGAACACTTTGTCAAGCAATTAGAAGCTATTATAACCGACTACTAGATATGATAAAGTATTTTTATGTGTTCATAGCACGGTGATAAATATATCTTTAATCGTGGTTCATATTACAAAGGTAAAAAAATTGATACGAATTCAATGTTTTGTACAATAGCTGCTATCATTAATGCCCACTATTATATAAAGGTCATTTTTAAATATTCTATTTTTTCATTTTATCCCATCATATTGACTAAATAAAATTTAGTACCCCAGAGTATTTTTTCAACATTTTTTTAAGGAAACACTTTTTATGCGCATAAGAGGTAAAGGGACCGAACCCCCTTACGCCCCTCCCACACTTAGTACCTTGGTCAGAGGACTTAAAATATGTAGAACGATTGTAGTGAATTACTTAAGTACAGTAATAGTTTAATTATTAATATTATCATTTTCATTTAATTATTTTTTTGAGAATAACTTCTGAAACAATATGAAACACGTAATTACGTAATCATATGTATAATGAATCCATAGATGGATAATTGGTCAAATATTTTGAGGCTAGACAAATTTCAGTCAATTATCCAGAGGAGCGCTTACATTATTATAATGAAAAATAATTTAGAAGTTTTGTTAGGTACACGTTGAGATGGGATGACGTTAGTTTTTTAAATAAATACGAGAACATAGTAAATGGTACAAGCAGAGTCAGTGGGTCATACCGTTCACGTTTGTGTTTGTCAGGACAGGTATGCCGCTGACACCTGACAATAGTTTATTATTGTTCTGCAGCCGTCGAGTGGACTGGAGATTCCGCGTTAACAATATTCGACCTACGCGACCTTCGACGTATTGTCCACCAAAACAGCTACCACAGCCGTCGTAACGGTGGCGCTGTTATTGGATCGGTCCCTACGACGTGTTGCATCAAATGATTATCTCACTCGTGCGCGTTGTGTCGGTCGTTTTGTTCTAATGTTGTTTTTGAATTAAATTGAATTGGTAGCTGCTCATTGGTTAATAAATTTAACGATGCTATTTGCCTTCCGTGTATTCTGAGCATCGCAGTGTCCAATTGGTTTGACTAACAGCTAGTAATCGGCTCCAGTTGTTGATTTTTTTTAGATATACGAGAAGAGTGTTTATACATCCATTTGGAGGTATTCATGTCTGTTCGATACGCCCAAAGGACGTTATCAGAGTTGGCCTGTCTTATATCGTATGTGGAGTTGCTTCATCCATCACCTCCAAACGGTCCGGCAGTGGGTAATGATTAAAAATGTTTGTTATTATTTAAAGGATTATATAGTCGACATAGAAATAAGCATAGTTGTCAAAAATACTTTTAAAAAGTATTTTAAATAATATTCAAATATTAAAAAAAAAATGTATTTCAAATACTATATGAATACTTTTCATACAAAAGTATTTGAGTAATACTCAATTACTTTACAAAAGTATTTCAAATACTAAGAATACAATTAAAAAATAATAATAATGTTTTTATTTTAACTAAGAGCAAAAGGTTCCACCTAAATAATTACCAAGAGGGTAATTTGAGTCAAATATTGAGTACTCTTAAATTAAGAGAACTCATTTATTATTTTCGATATTTTTTGTTAGAGGTAAATAAAATTAATTATTGGAGACTAATCAGTGAAAAAAATAAATATTAGTACACGTGTAAAAACCTGTAAAGTATGTCTTATTGACAATAGAGTAAATCATTTGAACCTGCAATAGGCTATTGTAGGTTCAACTGATGTATTAAAAATAGATGTATACATAATAGCATTTAGATAAGCACAATAATTATGTTATACTATAATGTAACATATAAAATAACAGAGAATTATTCTCAATTTTCATTTTGACTGAGTTTAATTTGCTTGCTGTGTTACGGTTAGCAAATTAAAAAAAAAAAGTATATTAATAGTACTGAATATTAAACAGTATTAAATACTAAATAATTGTATTTAAAATACTACTCAGATACTTTTTATTAAATGTATTTAAAAATACTATTCAATACCAATGAAAGTATTTGAATAAAAGTATTCAAATACATTTACTCAAATGCTTTACGCCTTTGGAAATAAGTATTAGTTAGAAAAAAAAAAGGATTCTGTCATTAATCAGTAATTTTTTGTTCCAAATTCATTTATAATTTTTCCTTCTTGTTTTAAACAAAAATAACATTTTGTTATTATTTATTCATGTGTTGTTCTTGATCTACTATGTTGTAAGGCTTAATTACCAAATTTCAAATATATTTCCTTTCCTTTCTCAATGCATGGTCACATTTGTTAAATATTCGCACCTTAAGCAAATTGCCGTTACAAAAGGTAAAAAATGTAGTCGGCATTGCATAGGTTTATAATATTTACCCAATTTATTAAATTTGTCTTAAATAATCGAATCGACGAGCAAAAAAATTGTCATATCATGGATCGGTAAAATAAGCGATGAGATCCAAATTTTTTTTTAACACCCAAGCAGTGCCGTACACAGAAATTAATTTTTGAACGGGGTTTTTTTGAAATTTAAAGAAAATTATATGTGACACTGCCCATATTGTTCGCTCACAAAAATTCCTGTTTTCGATTATTTTATTGTGAAAATATTTATAGTATGTTATGATCCTTTTTATTGTTATTTCTTATTGTTTATCGTCCAAAATTGTCGCTTAGCTTATAAATTTTGGGGAGGGGGGTCAACCCCCCCCCCCATTGCGTACGCCAGTGGACCCAAGTAACGTTTAGTCCACTGCTGATTGTGTACCGCTATATATAATTTCATATAACTTATCGATTGATTGCAAGTCACCAATAATTCCATTACCGTTGTTTTTTCATAGAAAGTATTTTAAAACAATAATCGATAGAATTTGAGACTATAGAGATGTAGTTTTATTAGTAACATCTAAAGGCTAATTAATTAAGACGGAGATATCATTTGTCGGGCGGCTATTCCGTGCGGGTTCCAACGTCTTGTGCCTTGTTGCACATAGATGATCACACAATACAGGGTGGTCCACCACTCACTGACAACTTAAATAACTTTTGATCCAGTTAATATTTTTAGCTGATTTTTTTTTTAAATAATAGTTATACGTTAGGTCTATAGCTATATCTCAATAATTAATTTTTTTACATTTTATTAAAAATATTAATTATTTTTAAATTTTAAATAAAATGTAAAAAAAAATCTAAGATAGCTATTTTGTAGAGTAGAATTTAAGAAAAATTTTAGTAAAAAAATATCTTAAAAATATTCAATAGTAAATATTCTGTAGCGTTTTGAAGTTTGTAAAAATTTGAAGTTTCATGTATTATTTTACGGTATTAAACATTGAAATACGTATTGAGAAAAGGACAGAAGAAAACGCTATCTTTTCATGATTACTGTGTATACATATGATGATAATGTGTATACATTACAAACTTGGCATTAATACTTTGATAAGAAATTAGATAAGGCAATTATTACTTATCACTCTCATTCATCTGTCCTTTTTTCTTAAATTCTACTCTACAGAATAGCTATCTTAGATTTTTTTTTTACATTTTATTTAAAATTTAAAAATAATTAATATTTTTAATAAAATGTAAAAAAATTAATTATTGAGATATAGCTATAGACCTAACGTATAACTATTATTTAAAAAAAAAATCAGCTAAAAATATTAACTGGATCAAAAGTTATTTAAGTTGTCAGTGAGTGGTGGGNATCAGCTAAAAATATTAACTGGATCAAAAGTTATTTAAGTTGTCAGTTAGTGGTGGGCCACCCTGTATATATCATGTATTTGTTTGTAAGCATTTTTACACAAAAATGCTTATTTTTACCAACAATCATATTTATTATTTATAAATCAATCAAGGGGACACTATGAACTTATGTTCTATTACTATTATGAAATTCGCGATTCATTACAGTGTAATGTTGTATAATGATTACATTACTTACTAAAAATGTCAAATGATAATTTTGAAAAACTATTATATATGTTTGTACTAATAATTGCGGAAATATTGCAAATATCTCGTGCCTCTAATCTAATACCCCTGTAAACCCTCGTGATTTTACAAAATGTTTACTTTTTATATCTATTAACAGGTCTATTTTCAAATAAATATTATATATTTTTTTCCTGACGTCTTTTAACATATTTTGGTAAATAGAAATAATTTATGTAAAAGAATTTTTATTGTGTATAAAAACAAAGCTAAATGTTCATTCTACATCTCGATTATGAAAACTAAAGTCCCGTAGCCCCATTTGGATGCGCTCAAGTTAACTGTAAGAAAATGCGTCAATCACTACAAAATCCGTTAATTTTTTTAAATAAATAATCACAATTAAAGCGCATTGACATAAATAATCAAACCATATATTTCAGATTGGGCAAAATTTCGATATTTTATGAAATTATATTGAAAATTTTGGAATGCTAAAATTGCTAACCAAAAGAACAAGGTTTTATGACAGTTTTTTCATATCACTTTCAAATAAGTGCTAAAACACTAAAAATCTCGGAGTGTTAATTTAAGACTTTGGCGTGCTACATTATCAAGTACGAAATATTTTCTCAGACAGTTTTATCATTTAAAAACCTTTTCTTTTAGTCGTTGGCGATAGTTCAAGTTGAGACTTCGCTCTTTAACTATCACAAAATATATTATAATATTAATAGATTAATTGTGTGTCAATATATGTTCAGCCACAGGAGATTTATCAACTTATTGATTTTTTATGTTTCTTGGGTGTTTTTTTAACTTGACCCCTTTTTTTCTTTTTGTTTGTCCATCTTTCATTTTGTAAATGCCCTATTTACCCCCTTCTTTTACTTTATCTTTAGGTTTATCTAATAAATCTCTTAAATTATTACTTTTAGATGTCACTAAAAATTTTTTTAAATTTTAGCTAATCTATTTGAGATGCCCAGATAATATAAAATGGGCGATTTAATTACTTTCTGTTCCCCCACGCTAGTGAGTGTACTAGCTGCTCTCCTTTCTTTATTCCACTTTATATTCAGACTAATTTTGAAATTACATTTTCGTTACACCCATAATTCTAGCTATTTCTCTTATAACCCTCAGTTCTTTATTTAGATGTATTTTATTCATAGGAATATTAACTTATCTGTAAACCATATACTATTAAAAGCTTCCATTTTGTGTTGCCAGCTAAGGTTCAATTTGTTTAGAAATACACACACGTTCAGGTGTGTGTATTTTTTCGATACATTTCAAAATTTAGTTCCCCCTCTACTCTTTAAACTAATAAATAAAAAAAACAATTTTTCCTCTACATCCTGTTCGTTTGTGAATTTAATCGATGGGTAAAAAGAGTTTAAATGTTGTATAACGACCTTCGTATATCAAAATCTTTGTTAAAATTTTTGGAAAATAATCATAGGTGAATTTTAAATTTGTTTCGAACCTACTCATAAAAAGTTCTGATAAAAATGGTGATTTCCCATTGTTGTGCCTTCAGTTTGCTCATCAAATTTTATTTGAAACTGAAAAACATTTCGATCTATACATAACTTTAATAAATTAATAAACTCATATGTAGTATTCTGTTTTGTTTACTTAGCCAGTCTTTAAGAAAACCAATTTTTATATTACCAAGATACTAGGAAATAAGGTTACTGTGTCAAAAGAAATTAACCTATCATTATTTTGAATAGTTTAACCAGATAATTTTTAAACTAAGTCAATATTATTTTTAACTGAAAAATTATCGAATATATGAATAGATGAAAACACCTTTACTACTAAGTATTTAGCCAAATTGTAAGTTGGCATTAGTATTGACACAATAGGTCTCATATTATTTCCCGGTTTATGTATTTATGGTAAAGCATATAATTAAGTTATTTGAGAGTTTGAAATTTTAATAAAAAATCTGAACTTTTCTTCATTAATTTTGAACTATTGATGACGTTTGTAGCCTCCATTATCATTTTACTTAAGTATGAATCCGCGATTTTTTAGTAATTTTTTTGTAGTCTTTGAGTTAAATATGTTTAATACAATTTTATATATGCAACTAAATAAGTTTAATTTAATTTATAAAAAATCAATTTTTATATTAACTTAGCCTTATAACGCTACGATGCATATTTGAAACATTAAAAATAAATTTAACATATCTATCAAAAATTACATTGGGTTTTGACCTTTGAGATTAATTACTCATATAGAATAAGTCACCGGAATAATTTTTATTTTTTAATGATGTATTACATTAAATTTAATCTAGAATATTTTGAGAATTCTGTTACTATAAAAAAAACTTCATGATATACTAATTTTACCAAATTACACAAAAGTAAAACTAATAGCTTTTCTGCTATACCAAAGCTAATAACACTTCAAAAATTATATTTGGCATGAATACTATTTTAACAAATTGTTTAATTATAATTAAATAAATGTAGAATATATAAATATGTTTATTAATGGTATAAAATTATATAAACTTAATATTAATAATAAATAAAATATTTAATTATATTTAAATTATTCTAAAAACAATGTATTAATTATTTATAAAATTTGGTAACTTAAAAACAATATAAAGAATGCATTTCCAACAATTTTAGGTTAAATTTTATAATTCTATATAAGATTATAATATATTTTATTGTTATAATAATAATCAATACATCCATGAAATAATTACTGGTAACCTTGTAGTTTATAAAATATAAATGTTATTGATAACTGCTTAAAAATAAAAAAAACAATTAGTCTACTTTTAGTTAGTTTTTCTATTTTATTAGAGTTAAAAAAATTAAATATAAAATTTATACTGAAATTCATATTAACATATTATATTAATATAAATTACCATTAAATAAAAATGTTCTCAAAATTTTTAATACAGCAAGCAAATAATAACACAAATTTTAGTGTCTTTCCTAGTTATACTTTTTTCAGAAATGTATAAGATTACTTATACAAAAAACATAATTACAATTTTTAATTATGAAAACAGTAGAAACATATTTGAGATGCCTTATAGGCAGCAATTCCATAATTGCATTGCTCTTAAATGAACTATTCATAATTTTTATCAAAAGATTTACAATATTTTTTTTTTTTTACCTTCAAAAAGGAAAAGTAATTTAAAAATATACAAATAATAATAAATAACTATAACACAACAAGGTTCTCTCACTGGATAATTTAAACTAGCCAATGTAAACTTTACAAATCTAAATTATGATTTTTATTTAAATAATATTATTATAAATTAGAAGATATTATAAAAAGTAAAAGAAGCACCAGTCAAGTTTCAAAAATGTAAACAAATTTTCTCAATAAAAGCTTAGTCTCAATTAACATACAATAACTTTTTTTTATATTTAATTTAAACTAAGGAAGTAATAAATTTTTATACCAATGTTTTCAATAAATGGTAGATAGTAAATATGTAAAAACTTATATACCAAATGGTTATTAAAAAAAAAAATTTTATTTGCGCTTGATCAAAAGTATTATGGCTTATATGTTCCCAGGAATGTTTTACACTGAGGACAAGTGTGATGAACCATTTTGAACGCATCCATACAAAATGGAAGACAAGAGCACAAACAGCATCTTAAAACCATAATAATATATTAATTATTTGAATATAAGGAGATTAATATTCTCCTTAGAATCAATGATTGATGTTATATACAGGTGTTCAGTAATTAAGGGTTAATTCATACAATGAGAATAGAAACCCGTTTCCTTATTTACTGAACATCCTATAGATTAAAAAAAAAGAATTAATTTAATCAGCTAAGCTACATTAATTATCTCTTACACAAGGAATAAATTAAAAATGAGACATAATTATAAATTTTCTATAAAAATAAAAATAAAAAAGATCATTGATTTATATATTTTTTAACAATATAGAAACTTTAAATATGGTTGAATATAATAACACAGTCAAATTTTAGAAAACAAATTTTTTTCTCTAAAATTACTATTTTGAAAAACATAGTTTTTCTATATTCCTCTGAACTCTTTATATGAAAAAAAAAACTATAGAATGATTAATCATTTTAATACACTTACGAAGTAAAGTAAGTTAATGCACAACATAAGTAAGCACTAGGTGTTGTATCTTCTTGGATAGTTGATATTATTTGAGATTTGCAGGCTGGACATATCATTTGCACTGGAGTACGAGCCAATGGAGGATTTTCTATAATATTAGAATTTAAATTAATTCAAACAAAAATGTCAACACATTATAATGGATAAAAAAATATATTATTATATATATGAGAATAATTAATGTTGAAGACAAATCAGTAAATACTAAAGAAAATAGTCTTAACACAGAATACTTAATGTCATTGTATATAGAAGATATAAAAAATGTGATTAAATTGGATGCAAGATCCAAACTATTGTAACTGATAACGCTTGTAATATGGCAAGATTTAACAAGTTATGATTCCTTATTAAAAAATCTAGTAACTTATAATTGCATATTTTACACAATGCACATATTTTACATTTACTTGCTAAATCTATTCATATTGAACATATTCATTAATTAATATTAAATAAATTCATGTGTCACTATACAAACAAAATATAAGTAATTGAGTGGAAAATCAGTAGTAATATCTTGTGAAACAAAATGGGGTACATATTCAGATTTCTGAGTAACATTAGAAAATTGGGATATGACAAAAATATGTTCTGATAATAAAGCGACTATTGATTCTACTATTATATGTAAAACTAACAATATGTGTTTAAAAAGAAATATGGAAGATCATTAATACATCTAAAAAAAATAACAGTGGCCAACTTCATATTATATATTTACATATTACGTGAGGTAACAGATATTTGATTAACTTAATGAATAATTTTAAGACTTTATGAGAATGATTAAATACCATTAAATAATATTTAAAACTTTAATAATTATTTGTATTTTTTTCATTCTTAGCTATTATATCTACCTATTATTTAGCTATTTAGCTATTAAATTCATGAATTTAAAAAAAAAATTTCAGTTATCAAATTCCAACCATGAATTTTGTATAAACGCATCACTTAAATATTTTATCTGCCCATTAAAATACAAAACACATACACGACATATATTTTCTGAAACAATAATCACTGTACATCCTTAACTTAGTAGCAGAATATTAGCAATGATATTCATAGTGAAACAATAGAACTGGCCAACCAACTACATTCTGCAATAGCATCAAGTGTTGAAGTAAAAGGAATATTTTCATCATTTTGATTGATTGATAAATACAAATATAAAAAACAAATTGGATAGTGAAAAAACAGCTAATTAAAAAACAGTTCCTTTAAGCAATGTAGTTTAAAACATTGGTTCATTTGAACACAAATTGACACGAGGCTGTAAAACCATGTGCTTAAATAGTAGCCTAAGTTATTTATTTTGTAATAATAAATGTTATAATAATAACTAGTGTATTACAAAAATAAATTAATGTAATATAATTGATTCTGAAATAACTGAATTTTTAAATGTAGCCTCACTACTTAGGATATGCTTTAAGTCTATTAACTTATTTTGGTGACACTTCCAACAATTAAAATTTACCAAATTCCTATTGACAAGAAATTTTTAACAATTTCATTGAAAAAGTATTGATTTTAAAACTTACGTTGTACAATCACTACTTGGTTAGGTTGATTAGTATTAGAAGTTGGATAACTGGGAGGAACTGGTTGATACATCGGAGGAACACTAGGAGATGGGTACATAGGAGTTGTAAATCCAATTGGAGCACTACCAACAGATTCTAAATAGGTCGGCGGAGCTGATGGCATTTCACTTTTATTCATATTTGGATACATGGCTGGAAAAAAGTAAAAGTTAGCAATGTACCAAATTATTACATAATAATAATATTATGTCACAGAGCCAATAGGCTATAAGGAAAATAAACTAACCATGAGATAAGTAGAAAACTGTAGAAATACTTTTCTTCAATAATAATACGATACAATTAACTTAATTAAATTTATCGAACTTATCACGATAATAATATTATTGCAACAAGTCGCAATTTGGTTTATAGATTATAATCTATAAACATAGTAAAATAAAATTTCGGTAATGGAATTTGGTAACTTTAACTACGCATATGTTTTTATTATNGTAATGGAATTTGGTAACTTTAATTACGCATATGTTTTTATTATCATTGTATTAGCACAGACTATATGTTTCCATATGGTTTTTGGCATTGACATTAAACAACTAATAAGTGGCATGTGCTAAACCCTAACTAAACACTGATGTCGTCATTAATCAAGATAGTAAATAATACCTCGTGATAAGCAGACAACAGTTTTGTTTTTCAATTCATTAATTTAAAACTATGATTTACAACGAGAATTTTGAGAAAAATAATGAAACGAAATTAAGAATGAAAACCAATTTTCGTTAATAATAAATTTATATCTAAATAAATATAAAAATTGTTTATTAATTGTATACTTCTTAGTAAAATAAGGTAATAAATCTTAAATTTAGTGTAACTTATCTATTTTTGTTTTTATTTTAAATTTTAAATGTCCTCTTTTGAACTTGTTACAAAAAAAAATTTTTTTTGATGAATAAGAATTTTAAGTGTTATAATTATTAGCAAAATTTTTCTTTTGATTTTAATTAAATAATATTTTTATTTAAAGAGTTAAAACCCATTTAAGAATTGAAATATATAAATTCAAATGCTATAAAGTGATTTAAAATATTGTATATTTTTTAGTTCTAAATGGAGGTACTAAATGATATAGAAACTTACCCAGGATTTTGCTCAAAGTGTGGTTCTATACTCCCCCCTTTGAGTATGGAAGAATTCTTAAAATGTTATTCATGCAAAACAGTTTTTGGGCCAGAAAGTAGGTATTATCTTTTATAAATATTAATTATGATGCCTTCTATTTCTCACTTACTAAAATAATAATAAAATGTGACTTATAAAATCACATTAAGAATTAAAGCTTGAAGAAGAATTTATGCATTTAATTCATATACTTAGTATGACAATCATGCAAAATTAATAGTATTAAATGGTCCGCAGTAATTCTTCGGAGAGACAGCTAAAAAAATTTTCATTAAATTATTTATTAATTTATATAATGTATCTAAACTATAAAAATATGTATACAGATCTACTGTATTTATTCTTGGAAAATTTGTAGGATTATTTGTTATATTTATTTTGTGATATGTTTAATTCAGTTTCAACTGTTTACTATTATAGTAACAGCAAGTAGTAAAAAATTTATTTCGTATAACCTATTTCTGATAGATTTCAAACTATTAAAATTAATTTTTCTAATAATTATTTATTTTTCTCATTTTAATACAATTTTAAGATATTAAAATTAAAAATTGGGGGCATATAAATTATTTTTTTACACAATATTTATTTTAGGAGGACAAAAAAAGTGGTTGGATGTAATTGGGTGTGATATAAGTACATCTGGTATGTGTATAAATTATGTGGGAGGTTTAGAATACGTATGGGCGATCTCAAGTTGAGATAATGACAATGGAAAAGAAGAATGTTTATCTAAATAATATTAAGATTTGTTTTGTATCTTGTTGAACCCCATTAGTCATTCCTACCATTATAATTCAATGAAATTTAATGTTCATCAACTCCTTAAATTATTATTAAATTATCTTTGTTTATGGGGTTGATATTATTTAAAAAAAAAAAAAATCAATAATTTTATTTTGTCATTAAATAACTAACAAACATTAGTTCTATTATTCTATTTCTTGACCTAAATTGCAGTTTATGGAGACTCCACATCGGAATATGAAATTGTATTGAACTCTATTGAAGATATTGATGCTGTCGTAAAAGTTGAAGATCGAAATGTTGATGATGGACCTATAGCTGAACGAAGATGCAATGCTTGTGGTCATAACCAAATGTCTTATGCTTCAGCACAATTAAGATCAGCTGATGAAGGACAAACAGTATTTTATACATGTTTAAAATGCAAGTATGTTTATACAAAAATCAAACAGAAATATTTTTGTTATATTCCTATTTTTAATGATAAAAAAAAATATACAAGTTATACATTTTGACCATAAATATATTATAAAATATTCAATTAATTTAACCAGGGATTGAAAACATTTTTATATCATTATACACATTTTTTTAAAAATCTCATTTTATTCTACAAAAACATTACTTTCGAGAACTATGATATAATATTTAAATATTGAAAAATACATTGCACTTTTTGAATATCTGAAAAAAATTATACATTTTTCAAGAAGATATGGACAATTTATATATTTAATATGGTTTTGGAACAATATTTTTACTTTGTTTTCAAACAAAAATATTGTTCAAAAAATTATTTAAATAAACTATTTAATTTTTTTTTTTTTAGGATATTTTAAAAGTCATTTAAGCTGTCATAAATATATATTAATTAAAATTTTATTGAGTTTACTATGTCTTAATATATTTTATAGTATTGTATTTTAATAACAAAATTTTTGTGTTTTTTAGATTCACTGAGTCAGAAAATTCCTGAAAAAATATTTTTACTAGTTCATTTGTTTAAAATGTTGGGAACTTTTTTGTGTATTTATTACTGTTTAATAAAAATAGATATAATCAAGAATATGTAATACTTTAATTTATTTTAAATATAATCACAAAATAATTTTATTCTCATAGAATAATTAAGTATCTGCAAAGAATTTATTCAATTGCAATGAAAGTCACATTTGAAATTTTACATTTATAGAGTATTCATTATTCATTCATTTCCCGAACAATTTTTAACCTCATTTAGTCTGATAATATAACAGTATAAAATATTAGAATTAAGAAAATTTCCAATATTTGGAATAGAGAGCAAAATTATATAATTTTAAACCGCTGAAATATTTTTATTATTTCAAATAGTATTCAATTTCAAATAAATCATAGATTATAAATTTATAAGTAACATAATATACATTTTTTTATCGGAGTAGTATACACAAAATATTTTTATTGTCTCCACTGAATAAAAAAAAATTGTGTCATTACCAAACAATTTTAAAGAATGATCTGAAACATACATATTTCCTATGAACATATAACTGATGTATAATTTTGTTTCAAAAGTTGATTTTTAGTCAGAAATTAAAATAATTTATTATGCATTATGACCGGTGAAAGAATATTGTAATCAATGCAGTTACTCTGACCTAATTAAAAAGTTTCAAAAGTTTATTCTACCTTAAAAAAATTGTTATGTTCTTGCATTGGTCCCCCAAAATCTGACATCAGCTCTGGGGCACATACAATCCTAATTATTATTATATTCAAAATAAATAAATTAATGTGTACTCATGTTCATTTAAGTGTATCTTTTAGTAATTGTTACATCAATGAAAAATTAATTATTCTCAATTTCATCATGTTAGTAGTATAATTAAATTAATGAAGATGATTAAAAATAAAAAATATCCACTCCCCTTAGATAAAAAGAATTCTTACTTATTACTTCTTAATTTTAATTTATTTTTTGTCAAGACAATTTATTTTCTATTAAGTGCATAAAGGTAGTAATATAGTAAACTCTATAAATATTAAGTGATAAGAAAAATGTTAACTTATATGTTACAAAATTTTGTATGAAATTCTTTCTGCTTAATATAATATATTATTACAATATAATATTATTACATAATAAAATTTTAAATTATTTGAAGTATAGCAACTAAATTTTGTGTAGATTTTTAAAAGTAACTTCAAAATACATCAGGTATTACACCTACTACTCAAGTAAGATACTATAAAAATGTAACCAAAATATAAGAAGATACAGTATATGTTCTCACCCCATTTTTAAGTTCTATTAACAATTTTGTGATTCACTGACAAAAGTTCACAACAAAATGTTAGAAATCAATTATTTTCTAAAATACTTTCTTTTTATTTAGAACTTATAAGAATCACAGAATTTGTTCAATTACCAAATTATCAGACAAGTTACATATAACTATTACTATTCAAATAAGTGATGTCTTTTTTAGAATAAAATAATTTCAGATCAGTTTATTTTAAACCAAATAATAACCATGTGTAGTTATCAGTTATAAATCACTATTAAAATTAATAATTCAATTTCAAAAAATTAAGTTAACTGCAAAAGATCAATATTTAAATGTGATACTTCAAATTGTACTTTTACCACTCACTTTGTTCAAAGTGAAGATCCAACAGCTATAACATAAACCTTTTTATCAACTAGTAATTTTTAAAAATACTTAATATCAACAATATTTGGTATAAAATTAGTTCAAACTTAAAATTTGAGTAAATCAAATAATAAAATTTTTTTTTTACAAAAATGTTTCCATGTATATTTCTATAACCACTCAATACAAGAAGAACAGAATTATAAATAAGTTACTTCAAAGTTAACATACATACGCATTTAAAAGGTTTGATCTGAATACATTGCTATACATAAACTATAAAATGCTTAGTGCGTATTTATTGGAACATATTAGAAGTAAAAAAAAAAAAAAAAGAGAAAGTTAGACAAATCAGTCTCAAAATAATAACAATAAAAATATAGGAAAATGTATTTTCATAATAAATTCACTTGGTAAAAATCTAATCAACTTCTTCCATACGTGATGAATCTTCAGTATCAACATCTACAGCTGGTGTCGTGTCAACTTCAGCAATCTTTTCTTCAACTAATGGTAAATCTTCATCAATTCCCAATCCTAATTTGATCATTCTGTGGATTCTAGAAGCATGAACTTGTGGATCTTCAAGTCCAAAACCAGATGACAACAAACTAGTTTCGAACAACAACATCACCAAATCTCTGACAGCTTTGTCATTGGAATCAGCTTCAGCTTTTTGTCTAAGCGTTTCAATAATAGGGTGATCTGGGTTGACTTCAAGATGTTTTTTAGCTGACATGTAACCCATGGTAGATGAATCTCTTAGTGCTTGGGCTTTCATAATACGCTCCATGTTAGCAGTCCAACCATATTGAGAAGTGACAATACAACAAGGAGATTCAACTAATCTGTTACTAATAACAACTTTTTCAACTTTCTTGTCCAAAATATCTTTAACAACTTTGCATAATTTTTCGAATTTAGTTTGGTCTTCTTCGCGCTTCTTCTTCTCTTCATCAGTCTCAGGTAAGTCTAATCCTTCCTTAGTGACTGATACCAAGTTCTTACCATCATACTCTTTCATTTGTTGAACAACATATTCATCGATTGGTTCAGTCATGTAAATTACTTCAAATCCACGCTTCTTGACTCTTTCTACAAAGGATGAGTTGGAAACTTGTTCACGGCTTTCACCTGTGATGTAGTAAATGTGAGTTTGATTTTCCTTCATACGAGCAACATAATCCTTCAAAGAACATGCTTCATCACCACTAGCAGATGTGTGGAATCTCAATAAATCTGAGAGTTTCTTTCTGTTTTGACTGTCTTCGTGTATTCCAAGTTTCAAGTTCTTGCTGAATTGTTCATACAACTTCTTGTAGTTATCTTTGTCTTCGGCTAGTTCTTCAAACAATTCTAAACATTTCTTAACCAAATTCTTACGAATCACCTTGAGAATTTTGTTTTGTTGGAGCATTTCACGAGAAATATTTAATGGAAGATCTTCACTGTCAACAACTCCCTTGATAAAGTTCAAATATTCAGGCATGAGATCTTCACAGTTATCCATGATGAACACACGTCGTACATATAACTTGATATTGTTCTTCTTTTTCTTATTTTCAAACATATCATAAGGTGCACGTTTTGGGATAAATAACAAGGCTCTGAATTCAAGTTGACCTTCAACTGAGAAGTGTTTAACAGCTAAATGATCTTCCCAGTCATTGGTCAGAGATTTGTAGAATTCACCATATTCATCTTGGCTAATATCATCTGGGTTTCGGGTCCAGATGGGTTTTGTTTTATTCAACACTTCTTCATCCAAATACTTTTCTTTAATGGTTTTCTTCTTTTTCTTATCTTTGTCTTCATCTTTTTTATCTTCGTCTTCATCTTCACCAACATCTTCAATTTTAGGTTTCTTATCTTCTTCACCTTCACCACCTTCTCCTTCTTCTTTCTTTTCTTCTTCAGCTTCATCATCGCTTACTTCTTTGGTACGTTCATTTTCGACAATCAATTTAATTGGATATCCAATAAATTGTGAGTGCTTCTTAACAATACCAGTAATCTTTTCTTGTTGAAGGAATTCAGTTTGGTCTTCTTTAATGTGAAGGACAATTTTGGTACCACGGCCAAGTGGTTCACCTGGATCAGGACGAATAGTGAATGAACCACCAGCAGCAGATTCCCACAAATATTGCTCATCATCATTGTGTTTGGAAACAACAGTGACTTTGTCAGCAACCAAGTATGCAGAATAGAAACCAACACCAAATTGACCAATCATAGAAATATCAGCTCCAGCTTGAAGTGCTTCCATGAATGCTTTGGTTCCTGATTTAGCAATTGTTCCCAAATTGTTGACAAGATCAGCTTTTGTCATACCAATACCACTAAAATAAATAATTAAAATAAATACAAATGCTTAGAAGATATTTTATAATACTTACGTATCAATGATAGTTAAAGTTCTATCTTCTTGGTTAGGAATAATTTTGATATGCAAATCTTTGCCAGATTCCAATTTGGAGGGGTCAGTCAAAGACTCATAACGGATTTTGTCTAGAGCATCAGATGAATTGGATACCAATTCTCGCAAAAAGATTTCTTTGTTTGAATAAAAGGTATTGATGATCAAAGACATAAGCTGAGCAATCTCAGCTTGGAAAGCAAAAGTTTCCACATCTTCAGCTTGAGACATAGTTACGTCTTCAGGCATCTTCTAAAATAGAAAAAATAATAATTAAAAAAAAAACAATAAAACAATTTCCCTGATAATAAAATATGAGAGAACAAAAACATACAGTGCAAATTTGGATTAGCTAGATACACCTAAGCTTTAGACTTTTACAAATATATAAAACTATGTAACTAAAAATTATAAGAAGTTCTTTAATTATTTCATGAATAATAAAACACCTAGATAATTATTAATTGATTAAAATGATTTAAAGGCTTTTGTTTTATTAATAAGAGGGTTACAATTAAAACTATCAAAATATAAGTCCAATACTCAATGAAATAGGGCAAGTAGATGGCTTACTTAACTCAGTCTAAGAGCGCATCGTACCTTAATGCATACATATAGAGTGATATTACATTGTACAGTTATATAGGTATTCAGTCTTCTCTACACAAGTGTAGCTTTTCAAAGAGAATGTTAAAAATAAATAAAGTAATAATGAATTGCACAAGAAGTAATGAGAACAAAATCAATATATATAAACATCGATGGCCCCAACGAAGAGATATGTAACTTTTAGCCAATTGGAATTAATAAAAAAAAAATTTATTTCTTTAACTCTCACTATATTGATGAAAAATCAGAATGTAAACAAAATATTATTAAAATGCAGAATATCTAAAATGTCATGTCATGTTTTGATAATATTGGCTCCAAAAAATTCTTAAACTTATAATTCAAATCGATATTAACTTTTAAATTAACTAGAAGTATTAAGAAGTTAATTTTACCGAAATCTTAAAAATAAATTAATAACATCATTATTTATTTATACATAAAAGTAGACAAAAACTTGTCAGTGCCTGATAGCGTAAGCCTAATACCGATGCCGGACAATTAAGTCATAATTTGAGTTAAAATATATTTTATCAAGAGAATTATGTCAAAATGCAACAGTTTCCCAGAAATGAAGTCTAAAAAAATTTCATTTATAAGAAAAACTGTAATATAAAAAGTTTGACAATTTAATAGTTTATATTAGTCAATACTTATTATGGAATTAATAAATAAGAATTTTATAAAAATAAAACATAGAAATGAATAAAACTACTTTATATAAATGATTAGCTTTCCTGAAACACGAAAATGAAAGTTAAAGTAAAAATGGAGTTAAAGTACTTTTATTTAGGGCCTTTACGTAATCATAAATTTAACATTAAAATATAAAAAAACACATTTTATCAAATTTAACATAAAATAATAGTAATCTGAAAGATATTCAGACAATTTGATAGGAAAGTTAATTAATAAATGTCACTCAAAACTGAACATTCAAAATTAACGCCGGTGAAATAACTGCATAGTTAATTAGACAAACTCATTTTAAGTAACAGTAAACAAAATTGGCCACTTAAGTAAATGTAGAAATAAATTACAAAATATTACTCTATTAACTCTAGTATAAATATATTAAAAATGTACTTATAAAAAGAACTAAGTAAATTTAAATTAACTAAATATGTTAATAAAATAAATTCAACATTCATTGCAAAAATCGTGATTAACACGTTGCACGAATTACAATTAAGAGTATGCTAAGACAATAGAAACAACCTTTTACTAATAAGTTAATTGATACTTACGTTTGATGATAAGTAATGAATACAAGAAGTGAATTAAAATAAAATATATTTGTATGGAACTTTGAAATTGAACAATAAAAGTGTAATCGCAGTGGTATATCGCTAAACAAGTGTGCACAAAGTAGCGTTGAATTTGTAAATGATCAACGAGTACTTCCCTTTGCGTTTTATAACCTGCATGCGCCGGTTCTCGAATATTCTACGGCCCCGCAACAATAGTCAAAAACCTTTAACCAGGGGCACCACGTGGTAAGAACAGTGAACGGGAAACAATCCTTGATTTAACACGGTACGATGGTGCACAGTGCTGCAACGTTACACAGCGATGTGGAGATTTATAAAAACTGTGCAAGTTGGGTCTTTTGATTAACGTCATAATCACTTGCGTTTTCGTGCCGCTACAATAATATCGAGAAACTTCTAGAAGATTCTATTCGATTTGAGGGACACTCAACTCGATGTACAGAGCGTACCAAATACATAACTTAAAACAACGTATTTTATAAATCTTATAATTAATATTTTTGTTTTTTTAACATTCGGCAATAATTTTATTGTAATACTTAATGATAAAAATTTGATCATCTCGTGTATAATGACATTATAATATTTCATCAACATTTTAACGAACCGTTTCAATTTTTATGATGTTTTCAGATTTTCTTTTCATCTTTTAAAACAAAATATTTAATCTACACATTTTAAGAAAATTGTTGGTCTTAATTATTATCTGTGATAGATTTTAAACATTTATCGAGGGGGGTCTCAAAGATTCTTAAAAACGTTTTAGATTGTTATATCTAATGTCCAAAATTTACTAAAAAATAAAATTACGATTAATAATAAACAAAATCTATGGTTAATTAATGAATATAACAACTTAAAAAAATAATGAAACTTGTCAGGAAACATGATATATTTTTAAAATTGCCATACAATTTGCATCTTTAAAATTTTTTTAATGCAGATTTACTTTGGCATTAATAAAAAAACTTCTATAAGACGTTAGTAGAACAGACGTGCGCTAAGCTTCATATCATAGCCAGCTAAGATGAGTAACGATCTATTAATTAATTTTATTAACCACATTCACACCTATTGTTAATGAAAAATAGTTAACTAAAAATTAATAAAATACGTCTATGAACATATTTCTGAAGACTGATAAATAATTTAACAATACAATTATTATGTAGTTTGAAGCATGTAACCTCTTTTTAAAAATTAAGAGGGTTTATGCACAACAATTCTTAGGTAATATATTTTCTACACAACCGGCTAAATTTAAAAAACAATCCAGTTAATAAAATTAAACAAAAAGAGCTTTTACTAATCAAATGTGCACGCTTACACTGCACAGCAAAATTCTATCAAAAATATTTCACTTTTATCATTATTTGTGATATTATGGTTAACAAAAATTTATAAACTTATTGTGTGATGTATGTGATGTCTTATTGTCATTAAATTAAAAAAAACAATTCTATTAGATAAAATTATTTCATATGACAAAACAAAAGTCGTCAATGTTGAGTTAATCAACAGTTGACTCGTCCATACCACTTGTAGGATACCTTTAGGATGGATAATTTTAAATAAAACATGTAAACTAAACAGCACTTGTCTACAGACATTAGTGTTAACGGTTATGCTCATGACTGTATGATAAAGACGATTGCTCATGTAGTATAGTTGTTTTAGAGTCTAACTGCGAAAGCGATTTTTGAATACTTTCGATAGAACTCACGAAGGTATTTCGACGATTCGCGAGGTTTTAATAAAATCGAGTCAGTTGCAATTTTAATGAAATAAAAAGAATATGTTACTTGTTGTGAGATTAAAGATAGTCCACCTAATCCGATATCGATAAAGGCGATCTAAATTTAAAATTTAAGCTCCATTTTAATGCATCTCTCACTAAAGCCAATAATATGCTTGTAACAATCTCAGGATATTATAACGACACCTCTAAATTCGTGTCAGGCTCTACATCTACTCTATGCATAGGATAGAATGAAGTGCTTGACACTAAATTAGAGTCCATGGGGACTCTTGTAGAATACCTGTTAAGTTATAATTGATCAGACACGGTTCAGAAAGTATAAATAAATAGGGTTGTTCTGAGAAAGGTGTAGCGTAGGACTTACTCATGTCAGGCAGCTAATTTTAAAATGATCAACATAATAGTAAGAATACTGGTAACATGTGAGACGGATACCGATAATATAGTTAATAATACTGTGAATATAGTTTAAGATCAGAACAGAATAAAAACTTCCTGGTAAATAATGCTTAGACAAAAGACTTAAAATGTTTAGCAAATTGAAGTTAGATACTGCAATCATCAGCAAGTAGATTAGTTTGCTGGACAATTTTATTTCAATAAATAAAAACACTGGACTTTTTATAAATTTGCGATTTGTCATTAAATTATATTATGATTATCCATTTACAAAAAAAGATCTTTTGGTTATATACACGCACTCATATGTAAAGATGTTTGTGAACTAAAAAATATCGTCACACATACAAGGAAATTAATGTTTTTAAATATTAAATTAAAACGATCTTGAGTCATAAATAATATCTTTTATAACTTTTGAATCAGTGATATTTTACGTTACTTTTATTTTTAATAATTTTTACAGTTTTTGACTACATTAAAAATATAATTTTCATTATTCTTTAATAAAAATGAAATAACAATTTTTATTTTTCCAAAATAGACATTTTCTTGTAAAAATTTTGATGGATCAATAACAACTATAGGATAAGTAATTATTGAGTTATAAGCATTTTTTAATACATAGAGTGGGTATGTAATGCAAGTGGAGAGCACATACACCAGCACGAGCTGTACCCACCGGCGGTACACATACATTGATTGTATTAAAATGTTTGTAACTCAATATGTTGTATCCTAAAGTTATTACCGACTCATCAAACATTTTTATATGAAAATACTTATTTTAAAATTGTATAAAAGTTAGAAAATAAAAATGTTTATTTATTTTTATTAAAAATAAAAATTAAAGGAAAATAATAATAATATGTTCATTAATCAGCCTGTATGATAACTATATACAAAGTATAGTTATTATACAGAGTGATTTACTTGAACCAAACCACTTAATTGAAAAAAAAAGTAATATTATTCACTTTTTTTATTGATTTCTTTTAGTTCGACGTGTCTCTCAATTTATAAATCATGAAGTATTTTTTATGTTCATGCCATATACCTTTTAAGGATGTCAATTTCAATTTCTTAAATGACAGTCTTCTCTATGAAAGGTGACCATTTCTTAGATTCCTACACGTAGTTATGTAAATATGTACCGCTTCATACATAAAAATTGTATAAGTTAAGTTTTTAATTATTTATTATTAGATTAATTGATCAGTAAAACTCTTTAAATTGACGTATGAACTATTTTTTTATATTATGGATTTCTTCTTCGTTCTTCTTTTTCCTCGCCTTAATTCCAACTACTTGGGGTCGGCCACCCTTATCCTAAACTTCCACTTGATACGATCTCCCACATCTTCTACGCTCACATAAGCTGTCCTCATATCGCATTCAATAACATCTCTCCATCTCTTTTTTGGTCTTCCTCTATCTCTTCTTCCTTCAACATTCATTTCTACAACCGTTCTTGAATTTAAAAATTTAATTAAGAACGATTGTTTGTAGAAAACTTTAAAGGAAGTATTTTCTTTGTTGTCTCCCTGGCTATTCAAGTTACTTGAGTTCTTATTATTATTTACTGTTATTGTTATGTTATCTTTACTTGCAGAAGTATTATCCAACATTAAATTACAATATATTTTAGGGAGGCTCATTTCACATTATGGGGTCTTGGGCCCTAAAGCCCCAACTCAAATGTTTCTAAAATGATTGTTAAAAAAAGAAAAGTTAAACATAATATCAAAAAACTAGCTTTTTGTAATCAAATTTATTATTTTATACTATAACATCAGTTTTAAACAAATGTTGCATATTAATTTCCAAAAAATATGGACTTGTTGCATTTCAATTTATTACTTGATGAAGTAGAAAAGATTTGTTTCTATCAATAAAATGTTAAGAATTAATATTTGAAATTATATTTATTATTTTTATACTCTTTGCATTTTTTTATAAATAATAATTTGACTTAATGTTGTTTCACAAATAACCGATTCAGTTATTATGTAATGAACGAAACGTATTACATCACTAAAAAATAAATATGGTATTTTCATAGAACTAACCGCACTAATTCTTCATTTTATATAGTTAGATTGTGATATTATTTTTAACTTAATTAAACATGTTTTCATTTAAAATACTTAAGAGTTATTATTTTGAAGGGAATGAACCTCTTTTTCAAAAAAATTTTATCCCCACCGATAGGACTACATTTTTTTGAAAATTATAGGATATAGGATACTTTTAATTTCTAAAAAAGAAAAAATTACAATATGCTTTATAATTTTAAATATAATATATGAGGCATAGTTATTTAATCACTTTGTTTATCAAAATAATTGCTGTTTGAAATAATTAAAGATTGACTAGTTTAAAAAATCAAAATTACTTCAGTCAAAATTATAAATTTATAGTGGGTTAATAAGTAAATTATTGCAACACTTAGGTTTATAAAGTTTAAAATTGCAAATTAATAATTTTTCATTAATTCCTTAAATAAAAATTGTTAAAATAAACAGAATAGATTTATTTTTATTAAAAAGCAAATTTTTGTCCATTGAATAAAATAAAATTAACAATTAGGCTCCAACATATATAAAATACTATTTCAATTTCTTTTTTTTAGTTATTCTGTGATTCTTATTAGAGAATAACTTTTTACTCTTGATAACTTTATTTTTCTTTGTTTTATCTGAACTATTGTGGGTACCTCCTAATTTCTTACTGAACATTTTTTTGCCTAATTCTCTTCTGTGTCTTTTATCTTTAGTTTTCAAAAATTCTCTCAGTAATTCTCGTTTTTTTATAAATCTTGGGTCTTGACTACCAGAATATGTATTTTTATTGTGTTTAGGATCATAGAATTCTTCAGCATCTTAAAAAAAAAGCAGAATCATTAAAAATGAAATTGAAACCACAAAATATTTTTGAATTACCTTTAAACCTCGAGTCATTAATTTTAAAAAAGAATGATTCTCTCCAAACACCTCTTGAACCTAACAATTTTTCTGATGGTATATCAGTGATTGTATTATCTTTATTTTCAATTTCTTCTTCATTATCAGAATCACTAGAATCATCAATAAAAGGATTTTTTCCTAATATTTTTTTATGTTTAGTTATTTTTTTTGTTTGATATTCATTTCTGTCAATTTCACCTGTAATAAATAAAAAATATCCATTTAAAGTAAATTTAAAAAAAAAAAGTTTTTTTGATAAATGTATGAACATTTAGTCAATTATCAAAAATTGGTAGTCAAAGGTACTCTTAAATTAGAATTGCTTAATCAACATGTTTTTTTAACAATGCAATTGATTTTGTAAAAGTTATTGTTTTAAACTAAAACACAGTATTTTTTTGGAGGGGGGTATGAGATATATTGTAGTTTTATGTATATATTATGTTGTTATTTGGTTAATAATAATTATAAAATAATTCTTAATAGTTAAGGGTTGGTTTAAGGTGACTTTTTTTCAGAATATCTTAATTTTCATGGATATGTGCACATATTTATTTATCTATTACATACTTTTATGTGGTGTTGGAAATAAACTAGTTAAACGAAATTGATTTTCATTGCTAAATACATCTTTCAATTTATTTTCAACTTTAAAATATTTTTGTGTGTCTATAATTGGTTCAGAAACAATTTTTTGTTCTTCAACTTTTGGTTTTTGTTTTTTTGACCGTTTTTGTTTAGGTAAATCAGGTTTATCTTTAATATATATTTTATGTTCTTCTTGAGTTGGGTCATATCTTACCATATTAAACCTGAAAAATTTTAATAATATAAATTGAACAAGTGAAAATATATTATGTTTAATCAAGGAAAATAATTAATAATATTGAAATGATACTAGTTTTAGAAACTTTTTTTTTTTTTGGAGAAGAAGAATTTTGTTTTAAATTAAAAATAATGTTAGTTATTAATATTTCTAGTAATAATATATAAAATAATTTATTATTTCAATAATATATAATCTAAATATACATTCTATCTTCCATTATATCTTTCTTAGGTTTAGTTAATGATCGGCCAACAACATCTTCTAAAATATTCATTTGTTTTTCTATTTCATTATCATTAATTTTTTCAGTCATTTCTTGTTCATCAAAAAAGCGTTTATCCATTAAGAAACGATTATCACCAGTAGATTTGGTTGTTTGCATTTTAAACAACTAAAACACATTAAAAAAATTATGATAAAATTTTATTTTTCCTACACATAGGTAGGAATACAACAATTCTTTAATAAAGTGAAATAGCTGATGTTTAACTTATGTAAATGAATATAAAGTAACATTGAGGATTTAGATACATTTTTAACTATTAATTGATAAATTTCTTATTTACTTTTTGACCCTTTTCACCATCAAATTTTAATTTAAGTTTAAAATTTGAGACAAATTCTTCATTAGTAGTTTCATTTGGCTCATCTTCAAATAAGGACATTTTTTTAGATGGCTTAATTGTATTTGAAGCTAATTCTTCACTTCCATCTTCATCAAATTTTATCTTTTTGTTAATGGATTCACCCTGAATCAAATACATTCTATCAGTGAATGTTTAATTTAATTAATTAATTTAAAGAAAAATACTCTAGTTTTTCTACAAATATAGTTTTTGAAAATAATATATTTATTAAATTCAAATAACTATATTAAACTAACTTTTAATGCATTAGCAATAGTTGTTTTTTGATTTTGTAGTTTATCCCACTTTTCAGCCAAAGCTTTCTGGCGTTTGGTTTCAGCTTCTTGGTTTTTTTTTTTATCTTCATTATTTAAGTCTATGAAATATAAAATGAATCATCAATATTATAAAATAAAACATAATTATAATTGAAGTGATCAGTGGATAAAAGTGTTAACTGAAACTTTTGAAATTGTTTAGCAATGCTTTTGTAATTACAATAGTAAATTTTTCTAACAACATCTTTATAAATTTATTATTTCAGTTAGATTTTTTTATACCATAACATAACTATTCATGCAATTAAATGTATTTTCAAAAAAAAAAAAACCCAGCACAGGGGGGTCGCGGCACAGTGGTGACGTGGCATAGTTAGATCAAGTATAATGATATCTGACAGTGATTAAAATCACTATCAAAAATAAACGCTTCGATGCAAATCTTTAGATAGTGTTTAATTTTAAAAAAATTGGTGTTTTATTCCAAAAGCTACTTGATCTGCTGGTTCCTTATTAATATCTCGATTAAGATAAAGTATGTCGAATGAAAAAGGGTTTATTAAAAAATATTATTTCTCATAAAAAAATTGTGTGGATCCATAAACTTTTCAATAAGTTATAGCATTATAAAGTTAAAT